TTCTTTCCCCGAGAACACAGATTGGACCAATTTTTTTAATGCAACTAATCGGCCAATAGTTTTAAAGCAATCATAGATGGATTGATTTGCTCATTAGGTTTGCGGTCTCTTCAAACCCCTCTACGCCACTAGGTCTGAATGCCTTTTGGATTTGCATTGTCATTGAATTGGGTTTGATTTCCATGAAAATTGGCCTTTCAATGGATAAAAATGTTAAAATTTCAGGCAATGCGTGTATGAATTATTTATTTATTTATATCAAATGGAAGGCGTTTTGATAGTTATCATTAGCCCTTTAGTTGACTTCAGGCTTTACAGGGGGGAAGGAACATTAAAGTGAAAAAAATCGAGAGGGAGGGGGAACAGGAGAGTGATTCACAGATCTTAAAGAGACAGAAGGGTGCTTCAAAGATATAAAAGAGACAAACACAAAGGTAGGAAAAAGGTGAGGTAAGTACTGTAGAAGTAGTTGAATATGACATATAGTGGGATCATGGTAGTTTGAAGTGAGAAGTCAACTGCCAGTTAATTGACTTTTTTGCCGTATGAATATACGTTGCCCAGGGTGCACCACGTGGAGGTAAGTCTATCGCACACCCCGTGTATGAACTGTGAAGTCTAGTGAAATGTTCTTAAGTGAGCGAATTCGACTACAATCAATTGAGAAAATAATATGAAACAGTTTTACTGAACTACCAGAACAAAGACTGCTCTTGAATACCAATGTTGGTATAATATGATTCAATCGAATGATAACAAAATACATCATGTGTAGGAACAGAGGACTGTCGACGACACCTCAGATCAAACATGGGTTAAATACCTTCACAAGTAACTATCAGCCCAAAGCACTTCAAGCGAATATAGTTGAGATTTCTGAACAATGACCATCTAAAATTATTTATGCAAAAATTGACATTTTTAATCAATTGTTAACCAAGAATGTGTCCCTGTGGGCTCAAATCGATTTGACGTCGGAAAAGTCAATCCGATCAATAATTCTAAATCGTCCCTTTCCAGTCAACTTACATTCGCTTTCAATTGAAGACGTCTTATATCTTGAGATGGGGGGGGGGGGATTTTAACTGTTCCAAAGAGGAACCAGCTTTAAGGTTTATAGAGGAAAGCTCGTTTAATACCTAGAATTGGATTTCTAATGAGCAAGACGAAACGAGCACACCGCGCAACGTATACTCATGCAGCAATAAAAGTCTATAAACCTGCGGTTGACTTCTGACTTCAAACCACCACGATCCGTTTTCACTAACTTTGTATCTGTACCTCTCTTCTCTCCCCCTCTCGACTTTCTGTGACTTTGATATTTCTCCCCTCTGTAAAGCCCGAAGTCAACTAATGAGCTAATTATTACAACCGTAAAGAACGCCATTTCATATAAATCTGAAACCAAAGAATGGTATTCAAACAATACGTGCACATTTACGAGTACGTGAAGACAAAAATGCCATTTAGTTTCTCAGTGAAATAAGGAGGAAATGTTTACATTGATTTAACTTTCAAAAGGAAAAAAAATGGCAGTTTAGAGCTTAATGACTAAAGTCAAAATAACACTTATTATCCTCAATACGATCCTTGAATGAATTAAGATTACACCGGAAATAGAGTTACTCATTAAATAGTGCAATAATTTGTCAAACTACTGGACTATACATTAATTATACAGGGGCATTAAAAACCTATTTTATGGAATTAAAAACCTAACGATTTATATATTCAAATACAGACATTCACGATTTCTAACTTCAACATCATGGTCACGTATAATTAGCACGTTCTTTAACTGATTGTTAATTAATTTTAGCTAAGTAACGCACACCAACTAATGCTCATTCTCTTTTGTTTTTTTCCCAATTGGCCAGTAGTGAAGAAGGTCATTTGTTCACCAAACCCCCCCCCTCCCTCGAACAATAATTAAAACAATTGGTTTCACCCTCCTTCGCATCTTCCTCTTTTTAGGACAATATAACGGAAGACTTTGCTGCCTTGGGGGTGGAGGGTAAGATACTCTCCTCAGCCATTACCGGAAATAGCTTATCAGACAACTATTTCTCCTCATTATAGAGTACTAAAGGGAGAGAAATGTAAACCCCCTCCTCCCCCCCCCCAGCCACCTTTTCATCCTCTCCACCTACGCCTTATTACTATTAGTACTATTCCTCTAATATCAGTTTGTCTGATCTGTTTCCGCTGTGTGCAGCGCCAACTAATTCACTTGAGGGGGAGCATTAAGCACATCGTTTAGTCCTTCGTAGCTATGGTAACCACAATACACCTCCGGAAATTAACAATCTCTCTCCCTGCTAAGGGAAATTAACAATAGGACTGATCTCCTCTCTCTCTCTGCGAGCACTAATACAGATATTTAACTACCGGAAAAGAGGTTTGGGGTGGGGGAGAGTGGAGGAGAGATCTATCTATCTTGGAAATAGAGACAAGGCTGGACTTCCGTTCTTAGAGCGATACTGTGTACGTTGATGAGTGTGTGTATGTAAGTTTGCTTTTTGATGACAATAATGAACTAGTTTTCTAAGGGATTAAAGCCAATTAGGATTAATTTAAGGGTGTTTTATTGGGTGGCGCTGTGTGGAGGAAAGTTTAATGACATTTAAATTACTTTAACCAATATGAATAATCTAAGTTGTGTGTTTGTCAAATGCATATTAATTGTGAAAGAGAATATTGTAATGCCATTGGGGGCAACCTAAGAAAGAGGTCTTGTCATATCATATTGTATCCTTTATGGTTATTTAGGAAGATAAATAAGCAATATTTGACAACAAAGGTTCTCCAGCCTCAGAGATTTCTTAAAGTAATCAAAGACAATAATCGTTTGTTTTTCAAAGAAATTGTTCATTATTAATCAATCCAGAGTTATCATCATTTCAATATAAAAAAATGTGACTGTGCAGTGAAGATTTATAACAAATGGCAGGTTTTAGGATATTCATCAATGATCCTTCACATAGGGAGGAAGGTCAAAGTTACAAAAAATCGAGAGGGAAGAACAGAAGGGAAATTCACAGTTGTAAAGAGGTCAGACCAAAAGGTAAATAGAAAGGTGAGGTTAGTAATGTGGAAGTGGTGGAATATGACATACAGTGGGTTCATGGTAGTTTGAAGTCAGAAGTCAGCTGTCGGTTTATAAACCTTTTTTTGTCTTTTGAGTATACGTTGGCCAAGTTGCACCGCGTGGAGGTAAGTCTCTCGCGAACCCCACGTCAGCAACATAAAGGCGACATTTGACAAAAAGGTAAGGTGTGCATTGTTTGGGCTAACTTAGTAATGAACGCTATCTTAATGGCTTTTAGGCTCATTTGAATAAGCCTTTAGCTATTAGGGTTAAAACGCTTGGTAATATGACCGTCATACTATATTGCTTGAAGACTCCGTCGTATCCAGCCATCGTTTACGAAGGCCATTGAGATCAGTGAGGAAGAATTTAATTTTAGATGAGTTAAAAGTGTTATCAAGAGGTTGTGCATACTCAATCATTCATCTTATTGATTACATTTAATAAATTCATATATGGTACAATAAGTCCTGTTCACTATTGTTTCGTAAATATGATTGCCTCAAAAATACATAGGTTGCGTGTAGGGTATATGAGAATTGCAGAGTAAATGGCATTTCGCTGAACAGAACCAATGACAAAATCAACACGTAAATTGAACAATCATAATGGTTTCGGAATGATTTTCTACATTTTCCGGGAGCTATTTTTATAAGTGGATTCACTGGCAAGATTATATACAGAATTTTAATTCCAATGCATTTTTACGCTTACGAAAAGTTGTAAGTTGAAATATTCTAATTTGTGAACTATTAGTATTCGTTTAAGCACTTTATTCATTGGAATTTCTTATAGGTATTTTACATTGTCCCAAAGATGGGGTGTGAGATGGACTCATCTCCCCGTGGTGCACCCTGGGCAATGTATAATCATACAGCAAAAAGGTCTATTGACCGGTTGTCGACTCCTCACTTCAAACTAACATCGCCCCCAGTGTATGTCCTATTCGACCCCTACCACAGTACTCATCTTACCCTTTTTGAGCCTTTGTGTCTGTTTCTTTTGCATCTGTGAATCACTCTTCTATTCCCTCTCCCGAATTCTTCTCACTTTGATGTTCCTCCTTCCGTCTGTGAAGCCCGAAGTCATCTAAAGGGCTAATGATAACTATCAAAAAGCCTGCCATTTTTTTATAAATACATTGTCCCAAAGATCGAGCTGATCGTGGCTCTAAACTTAGCATTAAACATCACTCCCGAACCCCCCCCCCCCAAAACCCTCCCTCCTCTCCTAGAGCTCCACTGACAATGATGCTGTACCCGTAAATGGACTTAAACTCACCCAAGAAATGAAAAGGACTGAGGTGAGGAACTGGAATAATGTACAGAAATAATACAGCCAGATGAAACAAATATCATCTACATCCACATAGGTCATGCTGTTCTTTATTCCGAGAGCGGAATATACCCGTTGCGACTATTAAGGTAAATGTGTCCTTAAGTAGACCAATAGTAAATTGAGTAAGTCTTGAGGTGAAATTTAATATGTTGGAATAAATAAACAGTGCACTGAATGGATCACCACATTGACCAAATAGGACAACTAATGAAACTAATATTACCATTTATGTGCAAACTTTGGAGAAAGAAAAAAAAGTGTGGTTAGGTCAAAAATAAATCAGTAACCATAATTGCAGTACTACTGATGGCAAGCAAAATCATGAATTAATCATTTTAATAAGGCTAATTTGTCAAATCCGGGTTGTGCCATAGGTTTATCTTCACAAGGAGTTCCCTGAGCGACGTATACTCATGCGGCATAAAAATTCTAAAACAGGCAGTTGACTTCAGCCTTTAAAACAACTTGACCCCACTGTATGTCATATTTCACTGCTTCCACAGTACTCACCTTCCCTTTTCTCTACGTTTTTGCCTGTCTGTCTCTCTTTTAGATCTCTCAATCACTCTTCTTTACCCCCCTCCCCACGTTTTCTCACTTTGATGTTCCTCCTCCCCTCTGTGAAGCCTGAAGGCAACTAAAGGGCTAGTGATAGGCATCAAAACGCCTGTCATTTAAAATGGATAAATGTTGTTGGAGCTCTAGATTCTCCCGTCTTTATCTATGATCCAACATAAATTAAACTCTCATATTCCAGGAAAATGCGAACGCTTGGCAATGAATATTCTTTCTTGCGAGATGAAGGGTTGAGGGTTTCTATCAGTAATACGATTAATTTTGCCTAGTAATTCAACTTTATGCATACGAACTGTTGCAACGTTGTTGAACCACCCCAAATGGTGAGGACGTGAAATGTTTCTCAGTAAACAGGAAACTTTAGAATTTTGTTGCATTAAAACCATTATCTCATTGTAGCTCCTGGCATGTGAACTCTACTTTTTTGCCGTATGAGTATATGTTGCCCAGGGTGCACTACGTGTAGGTTAGTCTAGCGCGCACCCCTTCCTTGATTAAATAAAATATTTTCATATTTTGGGTTCACTTGAATTGCTATCAAGTTTCTCAGCAGGCGAATATTGATTGAGTGTTGGTGGTGTGGACGCTTGATTCTCGCGGTGTTTTTTTAGTTAATGTGTTTCCGCTTACATACTTACTTTAATTAGCCCAACTCTCTGCCACTGTGCTTAATAAGCCTTGCTGGATTCGTTTGCCTCTCAATTACCCTTTGTTCATTCGTCGATATTTGCCTCCCAGATTCATTAATTAGAACATATACAAGATATTCGGAGTTCACTGTCCGGTGGGTTTATTTCCTTGATTGACGGTGCCACCGCGACGCATAAATGTGTTGTGACATGATTGCAGATGAGTCCCTCTTCTAAGTAGTTGCTATAAGCAAAACATGCTAAAATGTGATTCAGTCCCTCAATTTCATGAAAGTACACACCAGCAAACTTTAGCGGCGTAGCAGTAATTAGTGAATGCTAGTTCTCTGCACACTATTTTGTTGGAACAAGGCCACTTACGTTTGTTCGCCACACAGGAATAATTTCCTAAAAGATCAGCGGAATTAATCGCATCATGTTTGATTGTCGAGTGCGTAACTGAATTTTACACTAAAAATATATTGGAAAATAGAAAGATTTATTGTAAACAATAATAGAGGCCAATGCTTTTTAAATTATTCAAATAATTAAATTTCGG